CCCCCCGAGTGCACAAATTTTTGTGCACCGGGCCTCTAGTTATTAATAATAGGAAGAAAGCAAAGGCCAGACATCGTAAGCTTGGTCACCTAGGCAGCTTCACCAGGAAGCTGTAACTTTACCCTCCCCAGGGAACCACCAGTCTACTTGCAAATCACTGGGGAAGGGATCCAACAAAGGGGAGGATGAATGCATGTGCAATGAAGTCGGGTGACGGGAAGTGCTTGCCCATCAGTCCAATCGGGAAAATATAATTAGCCGTAGGGGTGGAGCCAATGCAAGCCCACGAAATTCTGAAGGCTCAATTGGTTAAGCTCCTAGTTATAACCCTGAGACAAAGAGTTCTTGCTCTGTTGTTTGCTTGTGCTTCTGTTTCTCGCTTGGTCCATGACATGCACTTGCAGTGAACCTCCATAGCCATCTGGCCTTAAGCAGCCACAGGGCCGATGGCCATGCCAGCCCCACACGCAATGGACTGCAGCTGGGAACACAAGCTAAGCTGGCCAGATGCTGGAGTGGACTGTGCTTTCATATGGAGTGAGGACTCTGGGCAGTGGCTTTAATCCTAGCTCTGCTGAAGACAAAGCAGGACTTTTTCCATGGTGGAAGGAGGGAGATGGGACCTGGGAGGAGCACTTCCTTAATGTTACGCCATCAATAAAGCTTTCCAGGATCCCTCACTCTCCCCTGGGGACCTCAGGGAATTCTTGTTTCCACAGCGCCCCAAGAATCCCACGTCCACTAGTAACAGGTGGAGACTCAGAGGGGACCCCACACTAACAAAATTATGACATTCCCAGATCAACAAAAATGAAGGGAATTCATTATCACACGACCTGCCCTGCAAGAAATGATAGGATCCTGAAGGTTGCAATAAAAGAAAATACTAACTTGAAGCAGTATGGAGACAAATTAGAGTGTAATAACTTCAGGATGTCAAATTTAATCCCCATGGTAATGACAAAACAGTATAGAATATACACAAACAGAAATAAAGGAATTAAAATATTTCACTATGGCCCTGGCTGGTTTGGCTTAGTGGGTAGAGTGTTGGCCTGCGGACTCAAGGTCCCTGGTTCGATTCCAGTCAAGGGCACATGCCTGGTTTGTGGGCTCATTCCCCAATAGGGGACGTGCAGGAGGCAGTCGATCAATGATTCTCTCCCTCTCTGAAATCAATAAAAATATATTTTTAAAAAGTTTCACTCTAAAAAAAACATCAGTGAAACACAGAAGATGGTAATAGTGCAGAATTAGAGTGAAGCACATCAGTGCAAGAAATGGACCAAAATGCTGTAAAACATTGAAATCAAATAGCTAAATGAGAGAAATAAGTCCCTCCTTATCAGTAAATATATGTAAATGGAAAAACTCCAATCAAAAGATAGAGATTGGCTAAGTGGATGTTAAGAACATGATCTAGCCCTGGCCAGGTGTCTCAATTAATTGAAGCATCATCCCATACACCAAAAGGTTGTAGGTTCGATTCCCAGTCAGAGCACATACCTAGGTTGGTTTGATCCCCAGTCAGGGCTCATAAGGAAGGCAACAGATCGATGTTTCTCACATTGATGTTTTTCTCTCCTTTCCACTCTAAACATATCCTCAGGTGAGGAT